TTTCCCTAGCCTGCCAATCCCTCAGAATTCTGGGCACTCATGTGCCACCTATGCTCTCAGACCAACCAGGGGATCTGAACCTACAATCAGCCACCTGGCTTCCAGCCTTGCAGGGCACTTGCATTACTGCTACACCACACAGTAGGGTTACTTAAAAGACTCAAGCTTAATTATACCTTCTTTTCCCACAAAAATTCCAAATTTGCCGACTTTTTCTGGGATGACAAAAAGCTGCCAGTAACATACTACTGAGTAAGTAAGGTACTCACTCTGTTCCAGTAAAGAAAAGGTATTGTTTTAACAAAATGTGAAAAAGTAAATACTGTTCTAAGGAAGTATATACCTTGGAAAGAGCATTTTGAAAAACAGATATTTGGAAATGTTTCATCCTTTGCTTCTGAAAAGATAGAAATGTGTAATTCTGAAAATACTCATATTTCTTCATTTTAAAACTATGGCAACAGAATTTTCTAATTTTTAAAATATTTTCCAAAAGAAAACTTACAGTGAGTTTTGAACCTATTATTTAAACATTAAAACACACTTTCCTATTAGGAAGTGCTGAACACAACTTGAAAAGTGAATAATTAATGGCCCACTTTCTACTTTAAAAAAATTTAGAATAATTGAAGATAGGGCAGAACTATGATTTTATGGACTCAGAAAGCAGGAGGCCTGTGTAATCAGGCAGGGCCTCGTCTTAGAAGGGCCTCTCACTTAGTTCATGCTCTGCTGTCACCACATTGAAATTTTTAACAATTTTGAACAAGGGCCCACATTTTCATTTTGCATTAGACTCCTTAAATTATAAAGCTGGTTCTGAAAATCCATAGTCAACTGCAGCTTTTCTATTGGAATCTATGTATCTTTTGAGGTATCTCTGCAGCTATGATAACCATTAAATATCAAGTATTAATACAAAACCAACTTCGAATTTCTTTTAAGTGCTAAACTAAGCTTGTCAAAAAATAATTATACACATAATTACATTTCTATTTTTATAAATTGTTACAATCACAAAATAAAGAAGGCAAAATTAGTTGGCGGCTGTTAAAGAAAATTTAAAATATTCTTGTCATCTGGCTCCCTGTAGCCAGTGATTAAAAGAGCTGGATCCCTCATAGCCAACTATGGTTGGAATTCCAGCCCTGGCGGTCTGAAAAAAAACACACTTTGGGTATGCGCATGTGTGCCCAGAATCCCCATAGGGTGGAAAAATAGAGGAGAAGGGATTATAGCAAGAACACTACCCATGGGTGCTTTCTCCTGTTCTCTTCAACCCCTCTGGCTAGCACATGCACCCTCTGGCAACTGAAAAAAAAAAAAAAAAAAGGTATTCTCATTTTAATTTTATTTTTGCATGTCTTATAATATATGCAATATATTAATACAGGTATGCATGCACATGATTTTTAAATAAACAAGCACATATGGCACTGCATGTTCAACAACTTGCCGTTTATGGAAGTGCACAAAAAAGTTCTAAAACACCAACCTAGACGCCCAACGATAACTTTGTGCTTGAAAGCCCAAGCTCCGAAATTCCTTCCTCTTCTGGCTACACTTACCTAACACCTCCCAGAAGAGGAAGGCAATGGTGGCTTGGTGTAGAGGATTTGAAGTCAGGACTGAGTTCAAACGCTGCTGCTCCTCTTTAGGACAGAGTCTCCTCGCCAGAACCACCTCTAGTACAGCTCATAGGATCGTGTGCCAGGGCCTGGTCCACCACGAGAGTATCAACGGCCCTATCATTTACACCAGGATGTTTAAACTGAGATCATGTGAGAGCCATTTCTACCTGTCCACTTCAGGCCTAGTTTGCCCCAGCGACTGGATAATTGCACTTCGGGCAGTGAAGTGCAATGAATCTTCAGTGATATTGGAGCAATATTACTCCCTTAAAACACTCCACGGAAGGGAGTTGCTATCTCTCTCGGAATAAGGTGGCAGGGGATGAAACCTGAGGCACACAAGGCCCGGCAGGGCGCTCCCTGGGCGCTGCGGGAACGGCCCACGTTGCAGGCATCCCTGGAGCGCGGCTTCGAACTTTCTCCTCTACGTGCCCAAACCTGACCGCAGCCTTCCTTCGCCGTGCGCGGTTCCCCATCCGCGCCTGCCTCGGCCGGCGTGGTGCCAGGTGGCTGCTCTCAGCCTGGCTCCGAGTGTACCACGCTCACCTCCGGGGGTCGCCGGCCGGCGCGGGGGTGAGGCCGCCCTTCCCTATCGCCTGGGGTCGCTAGCGCGCGTGGGAGAAAGGGCTCGATCCCTGGCTGGAAGCGAAGCGGCAACCTATGACCCTCGACCCCCGACCTCGATCCCCCGGCCTCCTTCTTTCCCGGGACCTTACCTGGATGGCGTGGCCGCTGCCCGGGGCCGTGGGGCCGCCCACCAACTTGCAATAGAGCTCTGGCCGGGGCCGCCCGCCATCCTGCCGCCGCTCCCCGCAGGTGGCGGTGGCCCAAATCTTCGCCGGCTCC